CTTAAAAAACAATTATTTATTTGAAGATTTTCAGTCTGGCTTTAGAACACATCATAGCACAGAGACAGCTCTGGTTAAAGTCACAAATGACATTCTAATAGCCTCAGACAAGGGACTTGTCTCTATTCTTGTTTTGCTCGTTCTCAGTGCTGCATTTGATACTATCGACCATGATATCTTATTGCAAAGACTAGAGCACTTAGTTGGCATACAGGGAACTGCTTTAGGCTGGTTTAGGTCCTATCTATCTGAACGCTCTCAGTTTGTACGTGTCAACGATGAATCTTCCACGCAAACCAAAGTTAGCCATGGAGTGCCACAGGGCTCAGTGCTCGGACCTATTTTGTTCACATTATATATGCTTCCGTTAGGCAATATTATAAGGAATCATTCTGTACATTTTCATTGTTATGCGCAGGGGTACACATAACTTTTTTGCCCTGGTTCTCAAAGGAGCACCTGGAGATGTTGCTTGGTGCTCATCCTTAAAATGAAATAAACCGTAACTTTTGAGGGGGTCTTGACTTTATTTGCCAGACACACGGCACAGAACACACATGCAAAGGTGAACACAAGACAACATTAGCAAGACCAGTAATCCTACAAGCTGTCATCACTACCCTCCTGACTGTCAGACATGGTAGCTAATGATGGAGGCCTACTACTTTCTCTCTGGTTGAGTCTGCGATTAGCTGCTTGCATCCACAAGTCAACAGCTGGTTTTGGGTCGAAAGTCTCTGTTGTCATCTTAGACAAGTGGATGTAATCAAATAAGTATGTGAACATAACCAATAGCCTACTATAGCCAATAACAAATGAATGTAACTTATTTTATTTGTGTTGTTCATTCATATCTTATTTTACCTTAACATTTATTTATTTATGCATTTTTTTTGATCTCTCCAGTTTTAAAGGATATTTTTGGTTACTGTCCTATAGTATACATTGGAATGATTTCAAACCTGTTTATCCCAATAATTATAAAGGAGTGCCTTGGAAATATGTGTTTACATAAATTGTGACCAAACCGTTTGAACTTAGACTAAAGTGAACTATCTAAACACTCGAGTCCTTTACCTCACTGAGCTGTAGTTATCAGCCTCAGTCTGACTGGAGAGGACTCTCGCTCCACATTATTGTAGAAACATCTTCTTCTTATATCCGTTAGAGCAGCTAGCACGGCACCAGATTCTAATAATGAATTGGAAATGGGGGACCCTGATGTAAACAAGACGAAAGTCTTTCTCTGGTCTGCATCCCCTTAACAATTGTATGTTTTGAGCTGTACTGTACTGTACCCAATATACAAGCTGTTAATAAACTTTTCAATCAATCAATCAATCAATCAATCAATAACAACAGCGCTGGTACAGGTGCACCCTCCCTCTCTCCCTCGCATTTTGTCTGTGAGCTGCGGGCGCCAGATAAGCCAACATCCCCCATTTTCATCACTTACAGCGCTCATCGTACAGGACAAATGAAACGTGTAACCGGGGTGAAAAGGGTGTTACATTTACTTAATTATGAATATTGTTACATCAAGGCCGAAAATTAGGATGAGCCCCAACGGTCAAAATGTTTTTTTCCCTCCCAGAGCTGCCAGCGCAGCACCTCCCCAGGTCTGGCGCCCTAGGCGAACATCTAGCCAGTGCTACGGGCCGGCCCTGAGTTCATATCATGGTTCATATGCAACTCGCAAATATCTTTCTCTCTCTCTCTTCTCTCTCTCTCATCTATTTTCTCTTTCTCTTTTCCCTTCTCTCTCTCTCCCTCTCTCAATGTTGGTACGCAAATGCGATTTGTTTCAAATGACCCGGTGCTCTTTTTTTGGCGGAGGTGCGCATGCGCACCTGCGCACCAGTTATGTGCAGCCCTGGTTATGCGGATGATACTCAACTATATTTATCCATCAAGCTTGATGAAATTAATCATCTAAATAAAATTCAAGACTGCCTCAAGGACTTAAAAAACGTGGATGACCTTAAACTTTTTGATGTTAAACACGACCAAAACTGAAGTTATTGTACTTGGCCCGAAGAATCTACGAAACAAATTATCTAAACATATACTAACTATGGATGGCATTAATTTGGCCTCCAGTGAGACTGTAAGGAATCTTGGTGTTATATTTGATCAGGATTTATCCTTTAAACGCCCACATAAAATCAATTTCAAGGACCCGCCTACTTCCCATCCACGGAACATTGCAAAAATCAGGCATATCTTGCCTCAAAACGATGCAGAGAAACTAGGCTGATTAGATTCAGCCCCTAGTTTTGCTGATATAGGCTTAGTTTGTCGGGGGACATCTTACTTCTTCCTTCTCTCTGTCTGTACCTGTGTACTCTCATGTTCCGATTAACCCAGCTTCCCCAAATGTCTTTCTTTTTGGTTTCTATATACGCTGGGATCCGGAGTCATGGATGATCTTGCGGTCCTGTGTCCTGGATCGCGAGCCCTGGATCTTGAGTCGTGGCTGTGGTCCTGGATCATAGGTCCTGGATGGATATCCTCGTGGATTAATCTTCCTATTTTATACATGCATTTCCAAACATTTGGACTACCAAATGCTAGCAAATGTATTATCTTTTCAATTTACACACGGCATCTATTGCACGTCTGTCCGTCCTGGGAGAGGGATCCCTCCTCTGTTGCTCTCCCTGAGGTTTCTCCCATTTTTCCCTTTAAACTGTGGGTTTTCCTCCGGAAGTTTTTCCTTGTACGATGTGGAGGGTCTAAGGACAGAGGGGTGTCGTATTGTCATACTGATATTCTGTACAAACTGTGAAGTCCACTGAGACAAATGTAACATTTGTGATATTGGGCTATATAAATAAACATTGATTGATTGATTGAACTCTGCTCACATTTCAGGGTTTTCCTTTGACTTAGCCTACTTAAGAGGGAAAATATCTTTCAATATAAAATTATTTTTATGATAAGCTTCTTAATAATTACTATCATGTTTACATAACAGTAGACTAAATACAACTCATGATGTAATTTGGACCCTTATAAAATAGAAAAACGTATTTTCTATATTGCTCCAATACTTTAAATGTAGATTAAAGGGTTGTGAGGATAAAAAACAAGAACAGCAATGCATCCAAAGACAATGGAAAGAAAACATGGAAATATACCAAGAATGTGTACACATCCTCAATTGCTAACCCATTATATTTAAAAGATGTTCTCACCTCAAGTATTCTTAATATAAGACATTGCCCATTGTTATTTTCCCCGACTTGACAGGAAAGGGGGAAAAACATATTATTTCACCCAAATCTTTATTCACGAAGCGGTATACAAGTTGTATTCAAGTATACAAACAACTTTGCACAAGCTTGAGAATGCAAAGTCCATTAAGTCCTTTCAGAGTTCAAATAAAAATATCCCCCGATTCTTGGTTCTTCATAATTTTGTATAATGTATCACACGGTTTGATTTAGATAACAAACCAATGAATGCAAGGGAAAAGTCTGACTATTTTGATTTGTTAATCTACATTGACCACAATAATTAGATGTATAACAATGCTTTCCCTTATTTAGAAAACAAAATATTTATCTTCACATCAAGGAAAGTCAGACGGTAACGGGGATGGTGAACATGCATCAGTATCCTAGCCTGACTTGGACCAGAGATGTCGTTTCATGGTCAGATCCATAATTTGAAAGAAACAATACACAGGTGTTAAGGACACCCTGTAGGATAAAAGGTTTGCTTCTATCATTGACATTTCACTTGAATAATTAAGGATCTCACCTGTTACGTCATTTTTAGTTGTATGAAGGCTACTTTTATAATATAACATCTACATGTGTACTTTGAACACTTATGACCTAGTGTTTGACCAAACATTTAGAAATGCTTGTTTACAAAACCAAAAGGAGACAAATGCTGAAGGTTCAATGTTTTGCAGAACTGCCCAAAGTTGTAAATGCTCCATTTCAGAGTTGGTGTATGTAATGAGTGAAGCCAGCGTCCCTCACACAGCATATGTTACGTATTTTAGGAAATGACATGATGGAACTTTACCTTTGACTGAAATACCTTTTCAAAAAAAACAACCATTGTAAAGCTTGTTCACACAAGGAAAGCTAATGTGAACACAAAACGTTCCAATTCAAAACCTAAGAAATGGTTGAGCAATGATGCCACCATGTGGACACAAAGCCACACTATGACAACACTTCAAATGCCAAACATTAATTAATGTAGGAATTTAAAGTGTGCACTTTCAGTTAATCATTTGTCAGCACAATTTATCTGTTTAAATTAAATGTCATTTTCTCAATATCGACTGTTCACTCATTCACAAAACAAATGAGACTTCTTGAAGAGTCTGGAATAAAAAGTCTCTTGGGTAGTTGAAGGTTAACAAAAGCACAAACTATAAAGCGTCTCTGTTCAAAACTTTTATTAGAACTGTTTAAGTATGGTAGCTTGGAGGAAGAAAAGGAGGCAGCATTGGTATGGGCAAGTGAACATGGGGATGAAAAGGAGGATGGGATGCCGGTGTGGGCGGGGGATCTGGTTTCACAGTGGTAGCTGGAGTGGTTGGATATTGGGGATAGGGAGGGGTCATAGGGTAAAGATGATAGTAAGGCATAGATGGTGGAAGCTGCGATGAGGGATTTTTAGCCTTTGGTTTAGTTGTAGTTGGTGTTGTCGCCGCAGTTGGTTTTGGCTTTGAAGTTAGATATTTGAGAGGATGAAGAGGATTAAAGGCAGGATACATCGGAATATATTGTGGAAACGGCATCTGAGCGTATGGAGGCATCTGAGGATTTTGAGGCATCTGAGGGTCTGGAGGAACCTGAGGGTATTGAGGAACCTGAGGGTATTGAGTCGCATTTGCAGTTATAGGCCGTGTGGTCGTTGCTGTTGTTTTCTCGGGCATGTTAGGGTTTTGAGGCATCAGAGGGTATCGAGACATCGGAGGGTATCCAGGCATCGGAGGGTATCCAGGCATCGGAGGGTATCCAGGCATCGGAGGGTATCCAGGCATCTGAGCTACAGGGGAATTGGGGGAAAGTCGTTTTGGAAGCAGGAGGTGCGGCAGGGTTGGAACACCAGAGAGAGACTGGAATTCCTTGCCAACGCATCGGGAGTACATAACTTCCACCCTTTGGGAGAAACACATACAATTAGAAACAGCAAGGAATCACACAGACCTGTCAATGTTACAATCCGACTGTACAATGCACAAAATTAATCTCATGCTATATCTTCTGAATAGATCATCATGATGCAACATATTTGAATGTCGGTCCCCATCCAAAAAACATAGTTAATCAGTACATTTGAAAGCAAGCAAAAAACAACTCACATTTGAAAAGCTGAAAACACATTTTCGCTTGAGATCAATATGATGCAGATTAAACATTTTATTTGTTTGGCTCTCGTTAAACCATTCATAACTATAACAATTCACAGCACTAGCCATCGTTTTTTTTAAACTCACTTCCTCACTCTTTAAATCAGTTTCACATTACCTCTTGAACCATGTTGCAGCCATCATAGGGAACCGACATTTCAAGTGCATGTGAGTTCCTCTGCACGCTGTAGCCACAGGTAGACGGGACCTGGGACAGAGGCATTGGAGGTGCATTTCCTGTGGGGTAAAAAGGTTCAGTGTTTATATCATTGGTAGAGATAAATCAAGTCTACATTTAGGATATTATGGCTATTGATTTACCTTGTTCTACTGCAAATTGTGATGCTCCTGGTTCCACCGCTCTGAACTTCAACTTGCCCAAACCACACTGCAGTGAGGGCGACATGCTCTTCCATGATGAGTCTTTGGGACTGGCCACTTGTGTTGGGCTCATCCAGCCTGAAGGCGAATATAATACATATTTTTAAATAGTTTGTACTTTAAAGAGATGCAAAACAATTCAAGAAAAATAACAAACCCTTCAATACGTAATCAAAATATTTTTACCTGCAGCGTCTGCTTGATAAGCACCTTCATCCTCCTCATAAGCATTTGAGGATGACTTCTTGGTCCCGTCTGTGACTTGAGAATCAAGTCCTGACCCTTTTTCAAAAGCTCTCCCGAAAACAATTGTCCCCTCTTGGAACCCATTTGTTGCATCGGCATCTTTTCTCCCTTCTCGTCTTTCTGTTTTCTTCAGACGATAACAGTCTAAAGTTTGCGCAAAATAACACGTCAGAATAACAGCTGCAGCCAGGTAAACACCAGCGCCTTTTCTCTTGCGTATCATCCTGTTGCACATGACTGCTGGTAATGTGAGGAGATGAGATAACTTTATTTGCTGCAAATATTTGAGCATCAGCAGGTGCTGTGACAACCAATACAGCAGTGATAGGTGCTCATAGGCTTCCCATTCTGTAAAATCAAACTCACTTTTTTTTTTGTTGTCTTTTTTATTAGAAAATTCATGATTCAATATTTACAATTTGCACATGTGGTTTCACGGTGGCCCTGCATTTAAAGCAATCAAACATAATAGTCATGCATACCATGACAAAATAAAAGAAATAAACTGAATGCAATTAGCCAAAAAAAAACAACCAGGTTTGCCAAAAAACCATTGGATCTTACTTGAACGACCAATCATAGTATATGATAATACAAAAACAGAATACGAGAATCAAAAACCCAGCAAACCGGCAATCATTTATATAAAACATACTTTACGTTTTCCACGTTTCACCCTACACATGTTAGCCACCACTGTCATACTTAAACACCAGTCTGTCATTGTCACCAACCTCCACCAGAGTGCACCCATCCACAAAGCTCTCCAGAAAAGAGTCCTTTTCTAGGTACACATATGCCATCTGAACGTCCTTTCTTAAAGTCCTCTTTAATACGTCCCATGGGTCTACCTTTCTGTTCCCATTATGGGCCAAGTCTCTCCTAAGTTTTACAGCATACCGGGCATGGCTCAGCACATAGTTACAGAGATTCACATTGGGACCTTTCACTCCCCCACTCACCCCAAACAGCCACAACTTTATATTTGGTGCATACACATTTATTACCTTAAACGTGTCCCCCATGTATTCATACTGCACCCCAATCATCCTCCCTTCACCATCATCCTCAACCTTCCTTGCATTCTTCACATCCCCCGAATTGATAAGTATCGCCCCCCCCTCTAGCATGCTCACTCCCATTATTTGCAAACACTTCGCTCTTCCACTCCTTTTTAACCTCATCCACACTCTCCCCATCCCAATGTGTTTCCTGCAGACATATAATGCTGGCCTCACACAGACTTAGCGCCCGGCTTCTTCTGAGCTTACTTTTTAGACCATTACCGTTTAGGGATGAGATCGTTGCCATCAAAAGGGATGTTATTATAATACACGTCCTTTGCATCATTACCTTATACTGGTTTCTCTCCCGAGCTCCCCCTCTGTCGAAACCGCTCTCTTTTTCTCCACCTCCCTCGCCTTGTCCGCTTTGCGTCTAGCAATCAGCCCGGCGTTCTCCGCTGAGGTCTTCTTCTCCTCCTCGCACCTGCTTCTCCTCTTGCCCTGGCCCTTCTGCTCCTCGTTTGGGCTCCCGAAGACCTTGACGCCCCCAGGGTCCTCCGACAGCTCTCCCTCCTCCATTTCGGAAGCCTCCGAGGCGTCTTCCACCTCTTCAGGACCCCGACACTTCTTTCCCCCTCCGCTGCTCCCTTCGGCACCTCTGCTGCTCCCGTCGGCACCTCTGCTGCTCCCGTCGGCGCCTCCGCCGCCCTGCCTTGCACTTTTTTTGCTCTTTCCCGCCTTTGGTGCTTTCTCCTCCATCACCGAAGCCCCCGAGATGTCCTCCACCACTGGACCTTCATCTTCGCTGCTGATCTCATCATGGGGTATTTTCTTTGCCCCCTCTGCCTCGTCGTCTTCCTCGTCGTCTTCCTCCTCGTCTTCCTCCTTGTCGTTTTCCTCCTCTTCTCTCTCCTTGTCATCTTCCTTCTCTCTCTCTTTCCTCTCTCTCTCAGCTCCATACCTGCACTCCTTGGCATAATGCCCTTGCTCATTACACCTGTGGCACTTAAAGTCTGGGCATTCTCTAAAGATGTGACCCGGCTTTATACATAACCTGCACACTGGAACCTGGCCATTGTGCAGGACCCGGAAGTATTCCGCACCCTTCACCGTGTCGAACTTCGTGGAGTACGGCAGGGAGCGGACCTTATTGTTGAATCTCACTCTCAGGAACCTGGTGCCGTCTGCAATGTCCGAGTCTGGCCACACTCTTTTTTTTTTAATGTCCGAGATGGGCTTAACTCCCCACTCCTCAAGCCTATTTAGTAACGTTTTATCCAGCTAGTACACTGGCAGATGCAGGAACGAGACGGTCACATCAGTGCTCATAATGTTTTTTGCATGTACCGCGACCCCGTTCACTCTCAGCCCCTCCATTAGTTTCATTTTCCCCAGGATTGTCCTCATCGTCACTTCGTACTGTTCCCCCGTCACTCTACATCCATCCACTGTCCCGCACTGTTTCTGTATCCCTTTTAGCAGGTCCATCATAGACAGTGCACCTTCCACTACTACTTCCACAGTTAATTCCACACTGTACCTTGCTTTCTCCCTCTGCCCCTCTTTTCCTTCCTCTCCCGCTTTCTTGCCTTGTTCTTCTTTGTCGTTGTCCTTCCCTTCGTTCGCTTTATCACTTGCCCTTCCTCCTTCCATTTTCGGCACCTCAGCAGTCCTGTTCACTCCAGCCGCTGTTGCCATCAGAACACTCGCCGCACCAGATCACAGCACCGGGTGGGGGGAGCCCAAACGGCGTGCTCCGGGCCGTATCCCGTTGTTATGCTGTCGGTTGAAGCCCCGCCGCGGACTGAAGCCAATCGTATTTTCACTTACTCTTCCTGCTAACGTTGCACTGAACCGTCTCGGGAGATCACTGTGAGCGTGCAGACACGCGGAAATCAAACTCACTGCGGGTGGAGAGCACTTGGCAACGAAGCATGAGACAGGGCTTTAATACTGACACATATTACCACCAGGCAGCCAATCAACAAGGCAGGTGCAGCCTCAGCTAATTATTTCACACACAGTGACGTCACGAGTCACCCGCGAAAATACGCCATGTTCCTGGAGGTGCAAAGCTAAAAAGCTAGCTAACATAACCAGGTAGAGCGCAATCGTTTTTCTATTTCTATTCTGAAGAAATCGCTGTAGGCCTATGTCTTCCGATTATATCTCTGGACTTGAGGGGTGTGCTCTCAGTCGTTACCGGCTTAAACTAAAGCTGTGTGGGTTGTATGATTGCCCGTATAGAGTTCCTGCAGATTCATGGTGAAATGACCCTGGAAAGTGGCCTCCGGTGGATTTTTGGCAACATCTATGTGTATCTTCTGGAAACACCAGGTGAATACCCCACTTGTCACAATAATATTATCATGCCATTGCATATATGTGGTATTTTAGAGTTGACTAGATATTGATTAAGGCAATAGACTATGATATTCAGTACAGGAATCTTAGCAACACCAAGACTGTTACAGGATTTTTATTTTGGAAAGTATTTTTTTTTCTTACTTCTCACGTTTTTTATTATATTTTATTATATCATAACTTAGTACTTTTTTCTTAACATAGGTAACATTAAGCTGTCTGTGGCTCTTTCCTGCTGTAACGATGCAAATGTCCCCTCTGTGGGACTAATAAAGGTCTGTAATACAGGCCCTGGGCTGTAAACATAACCTCATCATTGGCCATTGATATAATTTGGTACTACCAGCATTGTAGCTATTGTCACTGTGTTAAGCCTTACATTGATGCTTACCAGCTGTCAAATCAAAGGTAGTATATCCTACTATGTTTGATGTTTAATTATAAGGTGACAGTGTATGTTTTACCTTTGTGTTTCAACAAGGTGTCCATACTAGAGAAGCGATGAAAAATTACAAAGCACTAGACTCCTACAAGCTGCTGGAATCTGGTTGGGTGCAGACAGTGAGGCATATCATTCCTAATGACACAACCCTCACGGTCCTGAGAGCTGACGTGACACCGTCATTCCGGGTGAATGAACCGCCGCATCATCCATGGGCAGCCGTTACCCAGCGTGGCGATGTGGTTGCTGCTCACTGTGACTGCAAAGCTGGGTATGTAGATTCCAGTATGTAGAAACTAAATGTTTACTATGAACATATTCTGGTTGTATATTGTGTGACAACCCTGTGGTTGTCCACCCGGTGGTGCTGCTGTAACCTGTTTGTTTCTTGTAATCAGCAGTGATGGGACCCACCTGTGGCGCTAATTCCAGGATATAAGAAGGCTGCAGAACAGGCTCTCGCTCTCTCTCAGCTGCCCTGCTCGGTGCAGCAGGACACCGCTCCTCTGTTCTGTTTTATTGTTGTTGGAACCACTGTGTTGGATAAATAAATGATTGTTTTGGGCAACTCCGGCGTGGAACTGTTGTCCTTATGTTACAAGCAGAGCCAGCTTGTAACAATCATTTATTAGGTAAAGTATCACAGAATCAGCATACAAAATATAACATGGTCAACTCTAAATGTAAGCATGTGAACTAGCAACCACACATACAAATTCATTCCTTGTATACAATCCCACCCCCAAGGTTGGTCAAAATTGCACATACCCCAACTATCTTATCTGCACTTGATTTGTCTACCTGATCTGCCTCATCCTTCAGAGATTTAATATGTCGAATCGGCAAAGTGCCTTGCAAAATAACAAAACGGTTTTTCATTAGGCCAATCACACGCTCAATATGAATTCTCACCGATGACAATTTCCTAGAGGATTCAAGGTGTTTGGCTGGTAATTGACTCTGCTCTTTAGTGAATGCTGGTGTGAGCAGCTCTACACCAGCAATACCCGCAAACTCTTCCTTCATTGTAAACCCCCTATCCGCTAGAACTTGGTCACCCGGGTGATGGTCACATTTAGTCAAGAATCCGCTTTGATGTACTATTTCCACATCGCTCACCCTCCCACCCCAGGCATCAGACAGAAAACAAATGGCACCAAGTGGGTTACATCCAATAAGAAACTTCATAGTGGTGTGACGCTTATAATTTGACCAGACTTGGGCACAAGCTTTAAGGTTCCCTGGAGATTCAATGAACACTTCAAAACAATCTATGATGCAAGTAAGTCTAGGGTACAGAGCCTTGAATGCAGGTGGCATATTAGAAAATATGCGCTCCCTCTCTGGCCAACTAACAAAACGCTTCAGTTTCACAAAGGCTACATCCATCCACTTCCAAAAATGATCTATGAGCGTGCTCTGAGGGATGCCTACCTGGTCTGCCAAATACTCAAACTTCATGCCATGTTTCAACTTCACTATCATATAAAAAAAAACTGATCAATGTAGGGGATGGATGGGGTACCTTTGCATATCATCGAAACTAGCAAGAATTGAAAAGTGGCTAGAAAAATGGGCCAAGTTAGTCCGGTGTAATACTGACACTTCTCATTGTTTTCAGCAACAGTGTTAGAAGATAGAGTTGAGGGTGGCCCTAGCATGGTCCCTCTCAGCAAAAGCAGCATCTCTTTCCGCTCTGAGTGCAGAGATCTCATCAAAGAGCATCTGTTGAGGCACGGAAGGTGGAGACACTGAACTGGTCGACGGTTGAGGCGAATCAGGAGTAGGTTGATGCTGTGGAGGTTCGGAGGATGCAAGGGATGTGTCCTGCACTCCAACAGAGACTGCGTAAGCCACTCTGCACTTCTTTTTTGAGGGCCCATTTGCTTTGCCAAGCATCTTCTTGCCATGACGACACATAGCATTCGAGAACCTAATACACACAAACATTACATATACCAGGGGTTAGGGTGGTGCGCTTATGGCAAAAATCATAATCACGATTATTTGGGTCAATAATTGATATCACGATTATTAAATACGATTATTCATTGACTTAGAAAAATCAATTTATTGAACTTTAAAACAAATAATAATTTGAACAGTATCTTTTTAACTGTTGTTTACCCTGAACGTATAATTCAACTGAAAAACCAATACAAACAAATTAAATAAATGATACATTTATATTTATATCATTTATATAAAATACAATTAATTGCACAGCCCTACCAGGGGTGATAACTAACACCTACCCACAGCTGGTATGTTATTGTAAAATTGTATACTTCACATCTATCACAACAGTATTACAGTGTTCGATTTAGGCCAGGCATATCATCAGTATATACATGAATTTTCGCAAACCTTCTCAGTTTCTGGCACTTGTCAGCTGTTGGTAGTTTCCCAGGCGTAGCAAAATTGGTCGGGATGTAATCTGGATGGCCAAGCTCCTTGGAAGGCTGCCCTGAAAAACAGATAAGAGCAACCATGATGCTATGCTACCATGCTATGATTCGGCTGTAGAGGAAGGTAAACAGTAGTTTGGTCCAGTCCGGGCTAGCGGCGGACATCAGATTAATCATAAACATAGTAGTTGTTCTGAAATACAACTTCAACTTACCAGAAATGAAGTGTGCCGAGCAGATGTACACATATTGCACGGTGCCCTTGGGTTTCCACGGCTTGTGAGTGATGGGATCGACGCGAGCGCAAGCTCTCGCCCACTGGGCCCTCCGTCCTGGCTGTTTTTCGTGACTGAGGAACTTGAAGAAAGAAATCTTGGATTTTCCATCACTATCTGTCATCCAATGATGATTTCTACAAGTCCCAGAACTACACCACTTCACCATCTTCAAAGTATTGTAACTAACAAGTAAGTAACACGGCTAAAACCTCTGCCTGGTTGCACCTCGCCGTAAAATGGCGGCTCCCGGAAGTACGGTGTCGCCGTCGGCCCAAAACCCGTATGTGTGTGTGAAAGAATGCTTGCACCTGTGTTCAATTAGCTTTGCAAACAGGTGAGCCTCGTTAAGACTTGTCTAACGTCTACAAAGTAAGCCCTGTATATTGATCATGTAGATCGGGGGTGCTCAATACGTAGATCGCAAAGGTAGTGTGGGTAGATTGCATGACATTGAAGCGCAAATGCGGCGCACCTTTATGCGCTTAAGAGGCGCTATTGGTGTAAGCGCTCCACAGTTTATCCGCCGCTGTGAGGTTCCGCGCTCACAGTTCACTAGCACCGTTGGTATCAAAGGCATACCAACTATTACAAATCCAATCCAACCCACTTTATTTGTATAGCACATATGAAAAACAGAGGGTTTACCAAAGTGCCTCACACCAAACATAACATTATAATAAAATATAATAATAGATGAAAGGCACACATAAGAATTAATACACAGTACATAAAGGCTATGGACATACAATAAAAGCATACAAATCGATAAAACATAGCTCAGACTGACTCGAAAGCAAGGGAAAATAGGTGGGTCTTTAGGCGAGACTTAAAAGTTTGGAGGGTGGGCGACAATTTGAAATGGGGGCCAGGTCGTTCCAGAGCCTGGGGGCTACCGCTGAGAAGGCTCGATATACAAACTGTTCGACCTACAGAGATGACAAAAAGTGTTCTTCCAAATACAAAAAAGCCTCTGTATACGCTGTCTCGCAAACACCTTGGTTGGTTTTAGGGACTACCAGCAGCAGCTGAAGCAAAATGAAGTCACAAGAATGATAGACACATAACAATACAGTATTTATTTGGGCATGGCTAATATAATTGTTGATGGCCAAACATTTCATAGAAGTAACACAACTCTGCTCACACTCTAATCACACTCTCGACCTTGTTCTGACTTATGGTATTGAAATTGAGCAACTATTAGTCGAACCGCATAATCCTGCTTTATCCGACCATTTCTTAGTAACTTTTGAAGTGCTGTTACTAGACTACAAAGCATTAGTCAAAAGTTCCTGCAGCAGAAACCTATCTGTTAGTGCTATAGCCAAATTTAAGGAAGAGATTCCACCAATACTTAACTCGATAGCATGTCTGCATGTAAGGGAGGAAAGTTATACAAAATGTACACCACCCCAAATTGATCATGTTGTTGATAGTGCTACAGATGCGCTGCAAATAAAATTAGACTCTGTTGCTACTTTGAAAAAGAAGAAAATAAAACAACATAGATTAGCTCCATGGCATAATGCCGAAACCCGCAAAAGAAAGCAAAAGTCGAGACAACTTGAAAGGATATGGCGTTCCACTAAACTTGAAGAATCTCGTTTAATTTGGCATATTACTCTCAATGAATATAAGAAAGCACTGCGTAAAGCGAGAGCAGCCTACTACTCTTCATTAATAAATGAGAATAAGAATAATGCAAGATTTCTTTTCAGCACTGTAGCCAGGCTGACAGAGAGCCATAGCTCGATTGAGCCTTCTGTTCCCATAGCACTCAGTAGTAATGATTTGATGTGCTTTTTTAACGATAAAATTGTTACTCTTAGAAACAAAATTAATGACCTCTTGCCTTTGACCAGTATAGTGTTATCAACAGCTCCCGGAAACGTAAGTTCTAATATTACACTAGATAGTAAACTAGAATGCTTTTCAGCCATAAACCTTGAACAATTACATTCTCTTCTAAACCATCAACGTGTATCTTAGACCCGATTCCAACTAAGCTGTTGAAGGAAGTTTTTCCATTAATTAGCACTTCTTAATTAAATATTATGAATATGTCTTTATTATCAGGCTATGTTCCACAATCATTCAAAGTAGCAGTGATAAAAACGCTTCTTAAAAAGCACAACCCCGATCCAGAGGTTTTAGCCAACTATAGACCTATTTCTAATCTTCCGTTCCTCTCAAAAATTCTTGAGAAAGCAGTCGCAAAACAGTTGTGTGATTACTTAAAAAACAATTATTTATTTGAAGATTTTCAGTCTGGCTTTAGAACACATCATAGCACAGAGACAGCACTGGTTAAAGTCACAAATGACATTCTAATAGCCTCAGACAAGGAACTTGTCTCTATTCTTGTTTTGCTCGTTCTCAGTGCTGCATTTGATACTATCGACCATGATATCTTATTGCAAAGACTTGAGCACTTAGTTGGCATACAGGGAACTGCTTTAGGCTGGTTTAGGTCCTATCTATCTGAACGCTCTCAGTTTGTACGTGTCAACGATGAATCTTCCACGCAAACCAAAGTTAGCCATGGAGTGCCACAGGGCTCAGTGCTCGGACCTATTTTGTTCACATTATATATGCTTCCGTTAGGCAATATTATAAGGAATCATTCTGTACATTTTCATTGTTATGCGGATGATACTCAACTATATTTATCCATCAAGCCTGATGAAATTAATCATCTAAATAAAATTCAAGACTGCCTCAAGGACTTAAAAAACGTGGATGACCTTAAACTTTTTGATGTTAAACACGACCAAAACTGAAGTTATTGTACTTGGCCCGAAGAATCTACGAAACAAATTATCTAAAGATATACTAACTATGGATGGCATTAATTTGGCCTCCAGTGAGACTGTAAGGAATCT